CCGTTGTGCTGTGCAGGCAGCCCTGAAGCAGCTCCCGAAAAACAAAGTTCCCAGCATGGCCGTGATGATCAAGTCCCTGACCAGGAGCAGCGCTGGTGCCGGTGCCGTGTTCCGGGACCCCACAGGTGAGTGGGGGTTACCTGTGCCCGGGGGTCCCCGTGCCCGGGGGTTACCTGTGTACCTGTGCCCGGGGTCCCTGTGCCCAGGGGGGCTCAGGGATGCCACCCCTCGTTCCCAGGGGAGATGCAGGGCACCCTGCACCGGCTGCTGCTGGAGCAGAGGCAGAGCGAGCTCCGGGCCGGCTCCGTGCTGCTCCTGAGGCAGGTGAGGAGAATCTGGGGGGCTGCTGGTCCCACCCCAGCGGGGTCTCTTCCATCCCTGGGGAATGCGGGGTGGGGGATACAGCACATCACATGTGCCATTCCCAACCCCGTTGCACCCTGGAAGTGGGAATGTAAATATTAGGATAAGGGGATAAGAGGAACTGGTGTGGTCATGTGGTACGTCCCTGTTCCCGTTCCATAGCACTCTGGAATAAAAAAATATCAAAAATATAAATACAAGAAAAGGATCTCCCACAGTTTTGCACCTCGGATTTTTCTCAGCTATTCCTAAAATGTCACCCCTCATCCTGAGATTTCCATGAATGGGGACCTGTACCTTGGGGGTTTATCCAGGAGCTGTGTCTGCCCTCTCCGCAGGTCGGGGTCTTCTCCCCCTCCCACCGCAACCACTACCTCAACGTGACCCCCAACAACCTCCTCCGGATCTTCCCACCCGAGCCCGAGGGCTGCTCCCCCCACCAGGTCAGGGGGGCACCGGCGGCCCTGGGGGGCTGCTGGGACCCCAGGGGGGTCTGGGTTCTGGGGACCCTCGAGAGAAGGGGGGGCTGGGTAAATCCCCCAGGAATCCATCCCCGCTGGGTTTTGCAGGTCCCTGGCCTGGCTGAGCTGAGCCCAGAGCCCCCGGCACGGCCCACCCGGGCTGTCCCTGCTCCCGAGCACCGGGGACAGCCGAGGACAGGCGGACCCAGCGCGGAGCAGCGTCCCGGGGGCTCCTCCCTGCGCCCAGCGAGCTCTGATCCCGGCTGGGAAGGACCGGAGGGAACGGATGGATGTGACCTGGGTGAGTCGGAGCCACCCTGGAGGGGAGGAGAAGCTCTCCGGCCTGGGGAAAGCCGGGCCTGGCCCCTGAGCAGTGCCACGGTCACACACACACACGAGTGACATCCTCTGTGCCTGCAGATGACCTGGACGGGCTCCTGGGAGAGCTGCCCGAGGATTTCTTCTCAGCCCCGGCTCGGGTTGACTGCGGCTGAGCCCAGCAGCTCTGCTGAGGGTGG